CGCTTGGGAACCCTGCAGCCCAATGGTATCAATGTGGATTTCACAAGTTTCAAAATCTCCCCTCCCCCTACCGCATCCCAAAACCAGTCCAGCTCGTCCCTGCCTCCCTAACCTGTTCTTCCTCCCACCTATCCCCTCCTCCCACCTCAAGCCGCACCTCCATCTCCTACCGACCAACCTCATCCCGCCCCCTTGACCTGTCCGTCCTCCCTGGACTGACCTATCCCCTTCCTAACTCCCTACCTACACTCACCTTTACTGGCTCCATCCCCACCTCTTCGACCTGTTTGTTTCCTCTCCACCTATCCTCTCCTCTATCCCTCTTCTATCCGCCTCCCACTCTCTCCCTATTTATTTCAAAACCCCCTTCCCCTTCCCCTTTTCTGATGAAGGGTCTAGGCCCGAAACGTCAGCCTCTCTGCTCCTATGATGCTGCTTGGCCTGCTGTGTTCATCCAGCCCTGCACCTTGTTGTCTCTACTTGAAATGATACAATTTTTCGGCCTCGACTGTTTTCTGTGGAAGCAGATTTTGCAGCTGTCCACTCTCTGTGTGAAGAAATTTCTCCTCATCTCATCTCAGATGTCACCCTTTGGATTTATCAGGGAGGCAACTGTGTTAAAACAGCCCTTTTCAATTCTACAAAATGTAGAACAACTCACCCAATAGGAGATGCAAATGCAGATAGGATTAAATTTCCTGGACTAAGGAGATAAGGCCTGAAGTAGCCCATAATGCATATTTTGGAAACTCATTTCCTGAGGCATTATTATGACATGTTTCAGTTTCCAATGTTTTTTCTCTGAGTGAAATTAACAATTAATGCCAATCAAGGATAACATGTATTGTGGGTCTATGCATATTAGAAACTAGATTGAAGCTGCCAAATCTGATTTAGTGTGCTATCCTTGTAACCAGCAGCAAGAGATTTAAATCAATTCCAAATCGAGAACCCAAATTGAATTTTCAAAGCACTGTGTAGCCTATTCAGTTTTACATTTAACCAATGACATTATGTCTTCCATTCCAATTTTTTTTCTCTTAGTGACTTTATTTTTCTGTTCATTTAGTTATCAGAGCATCAAATGTTGTGCAGTTGGATGTCGACTCTGAGGTGAATCACTTAGTGGGGCCAATAAGTTCACGCCCTTTCAATACCAAGGAGCCAGTATTTGTTGGAGGAGTGCCAGGTAAGCAAAGTGCTTTTCTTGAACTTTAGAAGTGGAGTGATATTGGAAGGGGATTATTTCATTCTGGAGCTATTTTAGTGGAAATGTTGTATTGGGTAGAGTTTTCCCCTCCTTTTGAAATTAGCTTAGACATGCAAGACATACAGATGAACCTTGTGGGGATGGTTCTCTGCATATTTCTGTCACTGGCACATTTCCTGACCAGTTGTTCGCTGTATGGAGGTGGATAAGTAGCCTTGGCAACAACATGTTAAAGGAATTAACAAGTTAAGTTAGTATTTGATTTTAAGTCACAAAGTAGGTCCTGTGGTCTGCTAGCTGTTACTATCCAGCAGTGTGCTGATACGTACAAAATGTGTGCAAGAGAAATGTTAATGTGCAAAAATTTAAATAATGAATGTGAGATGGATTTTTAAAAAAATTTGTGTGTGTTTTAGATAAACTTGGTAATATTATATTATCCCATTTAATGTTTACAAAAGACAGAATTGCTAATTCAAATTAGTTGCAGTGAATTGGGGATAAAGAAAGGAAGACATTCAAGATGCATTGAGTTGAACAGTCCCCATCCTGTAACTGTACAGTCACATAAACTATTGAATGTTGTCCTTTTGCTGCAATTCAGGAGGAATATAGCACACCAGTAGGCCAATCAGCCTCTTGAGCCTACTCTCTCATTTAATTAGTTCATAGTTGACCTGTACCTTAAGTTCAACTTCTTCTATTTCTGAAATCCTTAATACCTTTACCTAACAGCAATTACAGATGTATTAAATCCCAGAAATCTTTAGCTCTTGAGACTCGAGAAGGTGATAAAGAGGTATAGGCATAGATATATGTAAGATAACAAATATTATGGAAAAGTAAATGCATAACAGTGGGAAAAATTAAACAGTGACAGTACAATCAAGCAGGGAATAAGCATGAATTTGAGTTGTCAAGAACAGTTTTGAGAGGGGTAACATTTCTTATGCAAAGAGTAATCAGCAAATGAAACAGACCTCAAAGTAGGGTTATTGGAGAAAAAAAACAGCGCTTATTACAAAAACAACTGTATGTTACAGGAGACTAGATATGTCCTGCCTGAATGAACTGGTATAAACCAAATAGCCAAATTTTCATCAGTACCTGCATCAGAATCTTGTGAAAAAATTCTTGACAGAGATTTTTCTTTATTTGTCAATCTAATAAAGTCAGCGTGAAAAAGAATGCATTTATAGTTTCCCCTCAACAGATAGGAATGGACCAATTTCAACTGCCCTAGTCTTTACGGTAATGGAAGTAAGCCAGGAAAGTTTGAGTTAGCATTATTGTCATCAGATTTCAGTCAGTTTTGAAAGCATTTTGTAATTATGAACTAAAGCTAAGGCAGCTTAAAGGATAATTTTCCATTTTGTTTTCTCAGAGTCACTACTCAGCTCGAAACTAAGCATGCGCCAGTCATTCACTGGTTGCATGAGAAACTTCAACATCAATGAAACTCCTGTCATTTTCTCCAAGGCTGCTCTGGTCAGTGGAGGAGTCAGCATCAACTCATGCCCTGCAGTTTAATGCTTGCAAACACTGCTTCTGCAATCTTTACACAACTGCCTGAAAGAAAATTGAGGCAAAATCACAATTTCACATCTGGGGGTGCAGTAATGCATCTGAATTGAATCAACTGTCAAGTCACATCCTCCATCTCATTGTTTTTTCAGTTTGTCCATGCATTTCTTTTATTTTAATTTTTTTTCCGACAATTTGGAACCAATAAAGTTACCTTTTCATTTTGTCATGATCAGGCTTGAAAGTATTACAAATGCAAATTTATGTCATCAAAGACTCAAAATGTTAATTTCAGATACTGAACACGAGATTGCAAGGTTGATTTGCTAATAATACCAATAGCTAATACCAGTGATAATGATGTGACTTTGCTGTAAGAAAGCCAAGCAGTGGCTCAGATTAATTTCTCTTTATCCCTATAAGTCTTCACACACAACTATTTATAGGTATGGATGGTTTATAGGTAAAGATCACACACCTTGCTAGTTAAATGATTCATGTTAGTTATTTGGTTGCTTCTTACTTCCTCAAACAACGCTAATTAGTTAATCAAACACCAATTTCCTTTCATAAAGCCATGTGGACTTCATTTGGTGGAGATTTCTTTTTACGTCTTCTGCCAGAACCTGCTTAATACTGCAAAAGATTCCAGCATTTTTCCTGATGAAAGATGCTACGTTAACTGGTCTATTGTTTCTTACCTTCTGTCTCCCCTCCCTCTTCAATAGAAGAAATACATTAGCTATTTTCCAATCAGATGGGACCTTTCCAAAATCTTGGCAACTTTGGAAAATTTAGAGATAATAAGAACTGCCGATGCTGGAGTCAGAGATAACACAGTGTGGAGCTGGAGGAACACAGCAGGCCAGGCAGCATCAGAGGAGCAGGAAAGCTGACATTTCGGATCAGGACCCTTCTTCAGAAATGGGTCCAGAAATTGGAAAATTTACACTACTTCAGCAGCCACTCATAAAATGCTCAATAACGTCCATCAAGACCTATATCAGCCTTTAGTACTTTTCTCAATACCCTTTCCCAGGTGATCGTAGCTCCTTAAAGTTTCTCCCTCATTTTTACTTATTGATTTCTAATTTTTTCCTTTGCCTTTCATAGAAATGATTAATACAAAAGATCCACTTTTCCTATTTTTTTTGTCAGCATTTGCTTTGCTTTTATACTCTATGCAAACCTCTGACCTGCCAGTCAAATTTGCAGAATTCTGCAATTTTTCTCCATTTGATACTATCTTGTTAATAATCGATGTGTCCTTCCCCAAGAGATTTTCTTTCTCATTGAGATGTACCTTTGCTGGGTATCATGAAATATCTGTCTAAATGTCTGTCACTGCATCTATATAGACGTATATTTTAAACTACTCAAATAAACGCAAAGTACTATGGATCCTGGAAATCAGAAATGAAAACAGTGCAGGAGAAACTCAGTGGGTCTGGCAGCATCGGTGAAGAGAGCACAGTTAACATTGAGTCCAATGACTCTTCTTCAGGTTCAAAACGTTATCTGTTTCTCTGTTCACAGATGCTGCCAGACCTGCTTAGTTTCTCCAGCACTTCCTATTATTATTATTATTATAAATGTTAACCTCATTTTCCAGTTCACGCTCTTCATACTGTCATAATTTACATTTTAAAAAAAACACCATTCTTAGACGCACTCTTCTTTCCCTTAAACTGATCAGAAATTTAATCTCATTATGATCACTGTTAACTAGGGTCATCTTTATATGAGATCATTAATTCCATTGTATGTAAACTAGACTAATTGGATAACTCTTGGAATTTTAATGTTGATCTATTTTACAAGAGAAAGTTAGATTAATGCAAAAATTACAACTCAAGAGATTCATTCCAGTTACAAATCTAATTTTTTATCATAGAATCCCTACAGTGTGGAAACAGGCCCTTCGGCCCAACAAGTCCACACCAACCCACCCCCCTAATCATCACATCCCTGAACACTACGGGCAATATAGCATGGCCAATCCACCTAGCCTGCACATCTTTGGACTGTGGGAGGAAACTGGAGGAAACCTATGCGGACATGGGGAGAATGTGCAAACTCTACACAGACAGTCACCCAAGGGCAGAATCGAACCCAGATCCCTGGCGCTGTGAGACAGCAGTGCTAACCACTCAGCCACCATGCTCAGTTAAACTGTCACAGAATTAACAGGTATTTGGGACTCAAATGTTACGTTAACTTATATCATTATCATCCTCTGCATAACTTGAGTAAAAAAGACCCCTTATTTTGTCACAGTTGACATTCACTTGCAATTTTCAATATCAAAGCTAGAGGGGGTTCAAGCACATTTTACTCAAAGCTGCCTTCAGTTCTGTCACCAATTAACATGAAGCAGAATGCTGCAGGGACCTCTCGTGGTAGTAATGTGATATGGCATTGTTACTATTTTATAATTTTCCATTGGTGCATTTAAGATTAAAATGTATTTTGTCAGGGACTGCCTCTCAAAAATAAGTTCAAACAGTAAAATGTTGATATTCAAGCTTTCAAAATTGCATTAAACTCAGTTTACATTTACATTTTTTGATCATGTTTTCACCTTATCCACCTCTGCTAGAGGTGCACTGAACATAGTCACTAGTGCACCTGGAGTAGAAATGTTATGGAAAACGAGACCAGGAACCTGATGGATACAGAGTAAATGGTGATGTTTGCTACTTCTCCAAATACAGCCAAGATTAATATGGGAATTCCCGCTGTCTGTTGTTTATTGACAGCAGTAACTATTTTCTTGTTCAAATAATAAGATCAGTCACACAGCCTAACCATATGCTTTAGTGAAATGTTTGATATTTGAAATGATGACTTCTGTATAAAAATTGTCAGAGGCTTTTTTTTAAATAATAACAATATCTTTATGTTGCAAATTGTGAATTTATTCAAATAGAGAATTTATCATAAAAGACAGCTGAAAATTGATTGGTTGGCCCTTTAATAACTGTACTTACAACAAGCTCCCCCAACCATATGCTTAATTTTGGATATGCAGCTTATTATTGTAAACTCATGGGTGTTGTCAATTCAGTATACAACCATATGTAGTGACAGATACGGGACTAAACATTGTATTGGTCAAATAATCAAATCATTTCCTTACTTTGTGATTGATTTTGTGCTTTTAGGGTGCAATGAAAAAATATCAAATAGGAAAACATGGAATAAATAAATCCAAGAAATAGTAGCTTTCATCTTCCCAGCTCACCAACTTGTCTAAACATTGGCATTGTTAGTACAGTAATCTAATATATGATAGCACCACACTAGGTTCAAGTGTAGGCGGTCTGCATTCAAGTCACAGTTTTGCTTCTTGTGAGAATATCTTTACTTTCAGTGTGCATGTTTCACCCTTGCCACAGCCATGTAATTAAAATGAGCTTGTCAGTAACAAACTGATCCACTGGGGAAGTAACTGTCAGAATAAGAGACATCAGAAACTAATCCTGCTGCAATGGGAAGTCTAGCACACAAGCAGATAAACACAATGGAAATATGATGCTGGTATCGAGACCCAAATATGAGAATGACAGATACTTCAAGCTTTAGTGATGACACCAATCTCAAAAAACAACAGGATTCTCCATAACGATCATTCAATTTTACTGCACTATTGTAAAAGTAACTCAAGTAAGCATTACTGCACCTCCTTCCATCACCTTCTGCCTGTAACTGTTAAGATGTGCACATTGATATTCCAGCCGGCTTTTCTTTGTGCTTAGTGGAATTATATTTGGGCACCTGGCAAATATACATACATCCACAGTTATGCTTTGAATGTTGCCTCATTGTACGTTTTCACAACATCGATCTAATAAATTGCAGGATCTGATTTGCAAATTTCTTATTGTGAAACTTTCATTTGTAAGAATTGTGCAACAAGCTTTATTATGCAAAGGAACATACTAACATACAAATTAGTAATAGGATGAAACCATTTGGCCCCTCAAGCTTGATCCACTGTTTAATAAAATTAAGGACTATCTGATTGTGGCATTAACTCCACATTGTAACATACCCCAGATAACTTTTGATGACCCTAGTCTAACGATCTAGCTATCTCTGCCTTCAAAAAGCTATTCAATGACTCTGCCTCCACCACTCTGTGGGGAAGTGTGTTCCAAAAATTCTCAACCCTCAGAGAAAAAGAAATTGTCCTTATCTCTGCCTTAAATGGCCCCTTATTTTTAAACTGTTTCTAGTTCCTTACACAAGTGAAAACATCCTTTTAGCATCCACCCTGTCAAGTTCCCTCAGGATCTTGTATGTGTGCAATAATTGGCCTTTCATTTTTGTAAACAATGGTTACAGTCCCAACCTATTAGATAACCACTCCCCTAATCCCAGGGAATTTAAGGCATTTCTGAATTTGTACATCTAGGATGATAAATATTCCTCTGCTAAAGCATGAAGATTTCACAATTTGTTTGTTGAGGAAACATGAAATATTAACCTGATAGGATTTTCATGGATAAAATATAAAGAGTGGAAGCACTTTTAGAAGACAGTCATGTGGTATGTCCAATGTGAGCAAGTTGTGAACTTTGTAAAAGATCCGCTGGATATAGGGCACTAAGGATGAAATTATGTTCCTGTGCGAGACTGGTACAGAGAATTTGTGCTAGATTTATATTTGTCACTGGTTTTCTGATGATTACACCTGTGCCATAGGAACTTTGCATTGCATTGTGGTACAAGCTTTATTACAACAACTTGCAGTTATATATTAGCCAGATAAACTTCCCAGGGTGCTTCAATGGAGCCTTAATAAACAAAAATCGATAGCCACCTAAGAAGGTCTAGATGACTAAAAGCTTGACCAAAGTGTTAAGTTTCAAAAAGTTCCTTAAAGGAGAAAGAGAGGTAGAGGCCACGAATTTAAGGGAAGAGTTTTAGACCTTAGCAGCTGAAGGCACAGCCACCACTGATAGAGAAATTAAAAACAAGGATTCATAAGAGGTCAGAATTGGAAGAGTGCAGGTATCTCAGTGGATTGTAGGGTTGGGGGCGGTTAGAAGGATAAAGAGGGATAAAGCCATGGAGGAATTTAAGAAAAATGATTAGAATTTTAAAATCAAGGTTTTGTTCAATGAGGAGCCAATGTCAGTCAACAAATAAAAAGGTTATTGTAGCTACGGAATTTCAGCCGGTGGAGAATGAAATCGACCTTTTATAGGGCTGTTAGCATATGCAAAAGGGTCTCACTTATACAGCTAGAAAAAAGGTACACACAATTCCAGTTAAAACAGAGACTCCTCCATCCACCTCCTATCCAGAGGGCACGTCTGAGGGTGAAACCAAGCCACCTCACTATTCCATCTCCACTACCTGCAACAAAACTCTAGCTGGCAAGCTGTCCATTGGAGGTTTATTAAGGCCTCAATGAGTATGGCGCTAAAACTAATTAATCCCAGAACCTGTCACTGCAATTTCAGATGGGGCCTATGCCTATCACCATAAGTGGCTAGCATTCCCCTACCCAATTTCTGTCATCAGAGCAGGATGTCCATAATTTTAGGCCCAAAATATGTAAATGAAGGATATATCAGTGCCCTAATCTTGAAAAAGCCACAAATCATCTAATAACTGCAGAAATAATAGAAATCTAAAGTTAATTTGTCATCAGACGTTTTACTGACACAAATAGACTAGCAACCTCAAATGAGAGTCACCAGTTATGAAACAACTTTTCAGAACGCAACGAAGAAATGAAGGGCCTTGGCGTCTGGCACCAACTTCAAGATTTCATCTGCTGAGACTGAATCACAGGTGCTGGTGCGATGAACTCTTAGGAAGCCTGTCCACATTGTAAGTTTGAAGGTCTTCCCATGGTTACATAGACATCAATAGGCACATTAGTAATCGTCAGGCAGTGACTCCCATTGCATCTCCTTAGTTGCCTGTGTAATACAACCATTGTAGTTAATATACATTTTTATTGTCACTAAAATATAAAATGATCTGAAGATTTCTAAGAGCCTAACAGTTAACTTTATAATGAAGCTTCAAATAGCACTAAGGGGATCCACAGGAAAATGTCAGGATTATTTTCTGTTTGCTCCATCCATTTTGTTGGTAATCATCATCATTGATAATTTTACAATTGGTCAAGTTATGACTTAACATTTGATATTACAATGTTTCAGTTTTCTTTAAGTTGCTTCAATACCCATTAGAAAGAAAAAAATCACAATCTAACATAAAAAAAAGCAAGCTGTTTCGGACAGCGTAAGATTGCGAATCAGATTTGATAAATGACTGAGTCTAAATATAGGAAGAACAAGAAAATGTGTATAGCTATTTCTAATACCAAAGGTAACAAAAAGTAATAGAGCAGCAAATAAAAAAGGAATTGATAGAAATGTTTGGAGAAGGTACTAACAGGAACAAGAATTCTTGATTTGATCAACATGGGTCTGATATATGTGGAGATTCATCACCACGGACAGAATGTTTCAACAT